AGCTTAAATATGCTTAAAAATGTATGTAATCATATAATAGTATTTTTTATAGCTGGTGCACATTCATCTTATGTGAAACAGTATAAAAAAAAAAAGAGAAAATTCTTTGTCATTAGATCACACATTGCGTTATTTCAGATCCTGGACATGTTTCATCAATGCTTACTCCAACAATTAAACATTATGAACCAACATTAAAAGTCAACCCAGGAATATTTGACATTCTTGGTCATTACAACTCGACTTCAATTATTCTGGTTTCAGGTACAGAACAGCCCGGATGTAGACGTGAACTTTATCCCTCATATATCTTTGTACAAAGCTTCAAAAATAAGCTCCTCTGGTGTGTAGGTAGTGTTTTCTTGCCCAGCTGTCGATGTCTGTCATTTATGTGTTGACCCAGAGATCCATCTGTTTATCTGTATCAAATCAAATACTTTCACTGCTGTTGCATAGATGTTGTAATGTTAAATGGTCAGCGTGTTCTGCTTAACATTATTATTCTCAGTAAACAGGTGCAGTTATCATACAAGTATGGCAGAAACAAAAGAAGCCACATTTCCGGATGACGCCCCTTATAGTTAAGTTTAGTAGTTACAGCTGCCTGAAGAACTAATGATGAATAAAAGTTAAAGACAAACATCTGTTTGTATCAGATAACTGCTTCTGTCTGAGGTGGTTTTTCATTGCCAAATTGCCAAGTGCATGCTCATTGCTGGGTTAATGTTGGGTTAAACTATCGAGCCAAAGACATGCAAAACTTTATTTTGACACCATCAGGACAAGATCATAAAGATAAGCATCTATATTACCACCTGAATTCAATGAACACAGGGTCTCAGTGTTTTTTTTTCTGCACTTCAAACCCTGGATGTCCGTTTTCTTATGAACAGCATTCAACATGAGAAGCTCTCTGCTTACGTCAACACATTTGTATAGTTCTACCTTTATTTATTCACATTAATCTACAGTATGTTTTCCCCTGCATGCGCGCACACACACATACACGCACGCACGCACACACACACACACACCACAGCTCCCTGCCTGCCTGCCCTCTGTAGATCCCAGGCTGCTCTGACAGGCCACATTAGAAAGAGCCTCCTCAGCATGAACACATCATAAAAGTGGACATGCAATTTCTGTTTTCACCAAATAGCCAGCCGAGCTCGTTCTGCCTCTCTGATTTTAATACACTCGACAAGCAGCTTAGCAGCTAGGGAGAGAGAGAGCTCATGCCCCAGGGAAGGAGTGTGTGTGTGTGTGTGTGTGTGTGTGTGTGTGTGTGTGTGTGTGTGTGTGTGTGTGTGTGTGTGTGTGTGTATGTGTGAGAGAGAGAGAGAGGATGCAGAGAGAGTAAAAGAGTTATGCCTTCCAGCATTGCTAAATCCATTTCTCTGACTGAATTATCAACTAGAATTTGATTAATATGCAAATTGAGCGTGGGGAGGGAGGGTGTCAGGGATAATTCTCTTTGTGGATGGTAATTAATCACCGGTTAAAGTAAATTAATACATATATCAATTTTGTCAGGGACACGCTTAGTTCAATAGCCCGTAAAATTGAAGTTTGAAGTGTTAAGGGGCTCTACAGGAACGTTATAACTAAAACTTTCAAATCTGCCCTATTTAGTGATCAATCAAGCTGTGCCCTGCGGCAGAGCGGCTCATTTCTTCAGCTCTATCCTCAAAGTAGACAGTATATATTCAGCGCTCACAGCACAGACACACACAGAACATGGCAGGATAGAGCACTGATGATGATGATGATGATGATGATGATGATGACGGTGATGATGATGATGACAATGATGATGAGGGTGGGGATATCAAAAACCCTGATTTGAATCCCCGATAAGGTGTGTCATGCAGGATGCTTAATCAATGTTAAAAAAAGACATATCTAGTAAAGGTGTGTGTTGTAACTAGCAACATTAATCAGCACAGACTTGGTAGAAATGAAAAATAATTTTCATAATCTTTTTGGTGTAACCTGTAACATTGTACATAACCTAAATAAGAAGCTATGATGATTCTATTTCTGCTAACCTAGAATGAGTCACATATATAAGAGCTGTTTCTTTTAAAAAAAAGACAAATGTTTTTTTTCTTTTCTATTCTATTTAAGTCCATTCTATTCTAATCTATACTGCACTGCACCATACTATACTGTACTATACTATAGTGTACTGTTATTCTATATTATCACAATATAGTCTATTTCAATCTATTCTATTCTATTCAATTCTGTACTATTCTATACTATACTATACTATACTATACTGGACTGTACTGTACTGTACTGTTTCTATCATAGTGTAGTCTTTTAAGATCTATTCTCTAGTATTCTGTTCTATTCTATTCTTGTGTAATCTATTTAGTTCTGTAATTAGGCTATGGATTTAAATATTTCAAAGGTTTAGACTAGACTTATAGCCTAGTTTAAACGTTTTACTGTCATAGAAGTCTGATTAGTGCTTTAATGTAGTGACTCCATAATTTTCTTTTCTTTTTTAAGCTATTTTGATTTGTACTGTTTCATTTGTGTATGGAACTGTTTTATTTATTTATTTATTTTTATTATTATTATTATTATTATTATTTTTAGTTTTGTTTAGTTTTGTTTTTGTTTAGTTTTGTTGTAGTTGTTATCATAGTGGAGCTGCATGCTCTGGAGAAAGCCTATTTAAGCTGTTCATTCATTTATTTGTCACTGTGTTGTCAGGATGGCAGTTTAGGGATGGTGAGGTGGGGGTGCGTGTATGTGTGTAGTACGTGTGTATGTGAATGCATGTTTTTTTTTTTTTTTTTTTTTTTTTTTGGCGGGGGGGTTGAGGTCCAGTTGCTTAAACAAGAGGACATACATCAAACTTCAATTTTCCAGTCGGTTGGACAAACGATTTTCTCTCTCTCTCTCTCTCTCTCTCTCTCTCTCTCTCTCTCTCTCTCTCTCTGTTGTTGTTGTTGTTGTTGTTGTTGGCGATGATGATGATGATGATAACGATAAGAATGATAATGCTGAAGATGAAGATGATGCTGTTGTTGTTGTTGTTGTGTGTTATCCCCTCCTCACTCTCAAGTGTTTCGCATTACCTGAGTGGGTCACAGAAAGCTTTTACCAAAACCTTGTTAACGCCTCACCTATCAACAGTTTTAGAGAAGCCTTTAAATGGATTGGAAAGAAACCCAGGCTTTCTTTCTTTTTGTTTATTTAGCTTTTCAATTTTAAAGTCTAAAAAAGTGAAGGGAAGAGTTTCGAGAGCATGAGAGAAAAATAAGTTCGTGAACGATGAACCACAAAAACAAAGTGGAAATGTTAAGAATTCAGGGTCAAGACTGATTTGTCATTACGCCGTGCTTTTTCGTGTTTTAGCAGATCAGAGTCTAAAAAGACTTTTTGTTGTTGTATTTTTCTGACATTTACATGATGGGAAAGCAAAGAGGAGATTATTATAGCCGATCATTTCAGTTACATTCTTTCGCGACTGAAAACTAAACGTCAATAAAGTTCCCTGAAGTCAGCAGGAATACATAGAAACATCGATATAATTTCGTGATGAGAGAAAAATAACGAACACATTAGAGAAGGCTGCGGTTACTGTCACATTTTTTTTCTGTACATGATCACAGATGACAGATTTTCAGGTCTGATGGTAACAGCCAAAAAGGACGAGTACCTAAACAACAAAATACATAGATAAAGAATAAATAAATAAATCAATAAATAAAGATGAGATTTCGTCTCGGTTGGAGTTCAAGCGCAAAAATGATGTAATATTTAGTTGCCGCTGACCTTTTCTTGACACGGTTGATTTTCAACCAAATTCAAATTTCAACATTTTTTCTTCAAATTGACTTTTTCTTTTTTTTTTTTTTTAAAAAGAGAAACAAACTTTCTTGCCCTTAAACTAGATGGACATAGTGATTAATTTAATACAATTGTTTTTTCACTGGGTGTTAAAATTAGAAAAAGGACATTATTCAAACATGACTAAGGTTTTGTAGAGGATTTGATTATTACATGCTCCGGTAAAAAGAGACAAAATTGAAATCTTTGTTTGTACAAATTTTTTAAAGGTAGCAATTTCCCTCAAACAAAGTAAACAAGTGAGAACTATTAAACTCAGTAAATTCTGAAAAAAAAACCGATCTGTTAAATCTCTACAGTAAAACTTAAAAGAGCTCTAGTCAAGAAAAGCGAGATTCTTATTATTTTCAAACAGTAACAGTTTGGGTGCTCTCATTATTATTTTCATTTTATTTCAATAATTATTAATAATGTTATTTATTTACTTACTTATATTATCCCATCTTTAATGAGTCTCTCTGGGCATCACTAATGTGACTAACTGCGGACGACAGGAAAAAGCTGTAGCTAGATGGCGGATGAAGCGCAGATGAAGTGTGTAAATGAAAGCTTTGTAATCATGGAGTCAATGATTTGAACGACATGAGGCACCTTCCTGCCCACAGAGCCGCTTCCACATTCATAGTCGTGTTTTAACACAGCGGGCCGCGGAGCAGCGAGTGTGTCTGCATTGTGTGCAACAAAGAGCAGGGCAGGCTGCTGAAATGGAGGGTGAAGTCAATCCATCAAAGTGACTCGTAAATGAGTGGACAATCCTGAAACCATATGGCCGCACAAACACTCTCCTCTGGCCGCCTTTGTGCGCTCCAAACTGCCGGACGGTGCGCCGGGGGAAACATTTGTCTCAGTATTTCGCGCTGCTGGAGAGGGCCCCAGGACACACGCGCGCGCGCACGCACAGACACACACACCACTCCAGATTGCGCTCCTCTCCGTGAAAAATGAAAAAACACGCGGGAGGTCAGGAGGTAAGTTGTTGTTGTAAATGAATTTGGCAAACAGCGCCGTGTGTGCGCCAGAACACACGAACCCTCTCAGTCTAAGAAATACGAAAATACCAACAACAATATTTCCACTGGCCTGAGAAAATCTCTCAAAAGAATTAGTGAATCATTTGGAGAGATGTGTGAAAAGCTGAATATTTCAAAACGTGAACTTTAATGATTTTTTTTGACATGATGACTTTAGTTTACAGTTTGTACAGTTTGTATTTTGGGTTGTGTTTCTTATTTTTAAGGCACTTCGGCGTTGTACAAAATACAAGCATTACAAATATATTAAACTGTCATTTATTACAAGCTTTTAGTTACACATTTTGAGTTGTGATTATCATATTAGAATAATCGATAGATTGAAGAGAGTTTGTTGGGTTTATAAAAACTTTTTGTAGAAACTAGAAAGACTTTCAAAATAAAACCATATAAAACATGCAGTAAATTTCCAAACCACCCCTCTGTTTTTTAATAAGCACCTGCATGTTTGCTTCCTTGAGTCTGGCCTTTAAAGTGTCTGTCGCGTGGAGTTCGTTTGTGAGCGCGTGCCTGTTGCCAAAAAAATACCCTGGCGTGTGGCTACTGTTCCAAACAGTGCGCCTGGTTCCGGATATTCTAAGCGCACCGCTGCGTCCGTGCGTCAAGGAGGAAATCCTGTTAAAGTCGGACTTTGTGTTTCGGGCATCACTTGATGATTGGCACTTCACACCGTTGTTTTACTGACTAATAATATCTTTCTAGTCATCCACATCAATCTCTTCATCTTCGTCCTCTGAACAACATTTGCTGCTTAGCCGGTCCGTGTACGGCGACGATGCGGGTGAGGAGGATGAAATGTGGCTTTTGCCTGAGTTTAGGCTGTCGATGGTGTCGTGGTGAGACTTGGAGGGGACAGGGTTCTTCTCACTGTGGCCTGGTACTGAAACCGTCCCCCCGCCTATGACCCCGGCCGCGCACTTCTCCAGCTCGGCCAGCTTGGAGAGCTTCTCGAAGGCCACGGCGCCAACGGCCTTGGCGGACTCCACGTCCGCTTTCATCTCCTCCAGGTCCCGCTTGAGCTTTGCCCGCCGGTTCTGAAACCAGGTGATGACCTGCGCATTGGTCAGACCCAGCTGCTGGGCGATCTGGTCTCTGTCTGCCGGACTTAGGTATTTCTGATACAGGAAACGCTTCTCGAGCTCGTAGATCTGGTGGTTGGTAAATGCTGTGCGGGATTTCCGCCGCTTCTTCGGTGTGTTTCTCTGTCCGAACAGCGTCATCCCGTCCCGGCCTATAAGAGACAGAGAGAGTCTGATGAAGATATTTCCTACAAAAACAAAACAAAAAAACTAGATGTCTTCAGATCTTCAACATGCGCCTTTGTCAAATTAGTAGCCACACTGCACTGATGTAGCTATTTTCAAGATTTATTCATTATTCAAGTAAAAGTTGTAATTTGCCAAAATGATCACAAGTTACGAAGAGAATCAACCAAACATCCTCAAAAAGATCCTTTACTCTCTTTTGTCGTAAATGATAAATGTGAAAAATTTACAGAAATCTTTCTGCATTTCCTGGAAAAAAGTGAAACATTTTTTTTTGTGAAATTATGAGAGGATTTAATTTAGTGACGCCATGTTTGAATGTTACAAAGTTTATATCTTTATAAAACTGATAGAAAATATTTGTCAACCTTTTCAAAGATTTTTAGAGACCTTTTTTTTTAATGTATCTTCATCAAAAATAAAAGCTAAATAGGTGTTTTATAAACGAAATGTAAAGCAGTATCTTTAATAACTCTCCAGAAAATAGCAAATACTGCTGTAGAAGAATAAACACAACAGTCAGCATGCTTAAGCCAGAGCCACTCAGAAGAAATACGGTCTTTTTACCCTCTGCAGCCTGCAGCACGCTGACCTCCAGACCCTTGAAGGTTTTGCTGGCGAGCTCCTCCAGCGCGCACAGCGGGGACGTTTGGCTGAGGAGCGCGCGGCCGGACAGGTTGTGCGCCGCTGAGGGCAGCTTGTCTCTGGGAGAGTTGAGACAGTAGCTCCTTCTCACTGACGGCTTATTGAGGATGTCCTCGATGCTGAAAGGCGTCAGCGGCTTGTTGGAGTTGGCCGGCGGCGGCAGCTGATCCAGCGGACTGCGTCTCCGTTCCTCGAGCCCTGCGGGACATTTCGAGTCGTCCTTAGAGGTCATGGCGGCGGAGCGGGACTCACCTGACTGAGGAGGTGTGGGGAGGAGCGACTCAGAGAGAGGAAAGTTGTAATAAGAAAAGGAAGAGGACAGTGAGGAAGAACCGCAGCTCTGATCACAGGTGTCTCCTCTCACGCCGCATGCTGGCCGCTCAGCTGCGGGCTGCGCGGACACTTCGGACTCCCAGCAGTGCCCCCTCGTCTCCAGGCCACTTCTCCAGCGTGACGCAAAACGAGGCACGACCCGATGCCATCCGGTGGACAGTGATGCACCCAAAGTAGCAGCGATTGAGCAGGAGTTAGCAGTTATTTCTGACTGGAAGGTAATCAATTTCTCTCTCTCTCTCTCTCTCGCTCTCTCTCTCTCTCTCTCTTCCTGTCTGAGTGTAAGATGCAGTCAGAAAGCAGGGAGCGGTAATTAGAAAGTAAGGTGAGGGGGAGGAGTCTAATTAGGAAGCAGATCAAGCCCACTTAACACCTTGATGGTAGACTGAGGCCATTTATCACAAAAGCAAGCAAATGTTCCCTTCCGCGTGACGCTGTCCAAGTAATTGGCACCACGCGCTTCATCACTGGGGGAAGCTCGTGTCGGTTTGGATAAACCGGCTACGTGTCAATCTTAAGACCAATTACACATAGGAACACAAATAATTAACTCCCATTAAGCCACTCATCGAACCAACATGACTGAGATCAGGTAAGGATCATCGCGCGCTGTGGCGAGTGTGTGCGTGTGAGAGAGGGAGACGTCAGCGAGGGCATAACCCTGGCCTGCATTTGCCCAACACAAAAAACCATGTCATAACTCAGCAGCAAAGTGCTGAGCTCCCTAGTGCCAAAACTCAGAGGACTGAAGAGAAATTTCAGGCTGCAGATCAACAGTGAGAAGGACTCGAAACAGACTTCTGAATCCCATATCCCTCTTTGGTTAACCTTGAAATATAGAGGCAGTATTAAAACATGAGTTTTTCAGCGTCACTTACAAAGTCTACAAACAAACACCACTGTCCATATCTAAAATAAATAAAAATAATCATAATAATCATAGTTTCTACTCATAGTTTAATTATCTGATTGAATTGTATGGTCGGTTGTTTTGCTTAATACATTTGATTTACTTTTATATTTTCAAAAGTTAAGAAGGTCGGACATTTAAATTTGATAGATAGATAGATAGATAGATAGATAGATAGATAGATAGATAGATAGATAGATAGATAGATAGATAGATAGATCAAACATTAAAATGACCAGAATACAGAAATCAAACTGGTGCAAAATTCAAGGGGATATGTGTACAGAAATGTAAACTTTGAGAAAATTTAACAAAACATTTAAAATGAACCAGTTCAAACCTGTGCACATTAGAATTACACTTGAAACAAATTTCAATCAAAGCAGATCAAATTTGAAAAGAAATCTGAGTCAAAAATCTACAATAAGCACTGCCGCAAATTTGAGCACAAGAAGCTGAAAAAGAGCTTGGCCCACAGACTTTAAAAAACTGTAAAGAATTATCTGAGAATAGAAATCTTTTACTCAAACTGAGGTTATAGTTTCCTAAGTGTGACTCTTGAATTTCTTTGGTCTCGATTTAGATTTTGGTGAGCCCAGGTTTTCTCAGGCTTGAATTTTCTTTTCCAGAGCTGTCCATCAGATGTAAGTGAGGGGAGACCCTCAGTGTGAAAACAGATCCAGAGTCCTGGCAGCAGTCAGCACACAGTTACGCGTGCATACAACACCGCCTCACATGGTGAGCGAGTATTACAGGACAAACATCTGCTCTGTGATTAGTACTGCTGCTACTATTACAGCAGTGATACTCAGACTAATGGTACATTGGTATTGCAGTACTGCCATCTGGGGACAGGTATTAAAAATAAACTTCAGCTGATATGTTTCCATTTACATGAAACGTAATGTCCAATAAATCAGATATGAAATAAATCAGAGAAATAATTCAAAGAAATCATGATAGTTCTTTTAGGCCAGGGTTGGTTTATTTAGATGTCACTCATGTCTTAATAAACTTCACCTGATTTTTTTCTCACTATCGTTGTTGTTCCACAGGTAGAGGCTCCAGCTGTAACTCTTTGAAAAGCAACAACTTTGTTGTAAGATTATCCACACTCTCGACACACCTTTCCTTATATACTATATTTTAATTTTTTGTACTGTGAAATACTGATGGTTAGTAAATTTTGTAACCATCAAACAATATAAAAACATAAATGCAAAGATGAACGGATAGATATTTTGCCAGCAGGCCATAAAGAGGATGGCTGAGTAATGAGGGGAGTTTGGGGAGGCCATCTGCAGTCACAGCCTTTTGGAGTTCTGACAAAGTCCTCAGACACTTTTATTTCATTATTTACTCCTGCTTTGGTCATGCTGTGACATTTGATTATACGCCTCGTCTTGGATCTTTTCAGAGCAGGCCTCCTGCCTGCACCCTGGCCTGTTTCATTATCCTTCAGCAAGCTCAACATCCGCCCTGATGGATGGGATATATTCATCTGATACTCCCTCCCAAATGGACAAACATTCACTTTTCCACGTAGGTTTTAATTTCATCTTTGGGAGGCGGATTCTGTTAAATGCCGACCTGGGGCCACTGCTGTTGTAAATATGGACCCCTGTGGTTGTACAGGCCCCTGCTTACACTGGCAGTATCAAAAAGCTTCAGCGCTTTCCAACAGCCAGGACGATTTTCTCCCCTGAACAGTTCCCTCTCAGAATCAGGAGGGCTGATAGATGTTCACATTAAAGACATGAAGCTGAAGTTCTCACTGGATTCAGGTCAGACTCCATCAAATCTAAAAGTTCTCCATTTCCAAATTGCTTTTCGCAAAAATGCATGATTATATAAAATCATAAATAAATATGCTTCGGCATTATGCTCTGTGGTATCTCAAACAGAGGAAAATGGTTGTTTTCTGTAGCTAAGAAACACTTTTAGACTTTGTAGATTTAATTTGAACATGAACACCTGAAACATGAAAACATGAATATTTTCTGCACAATTCATTTTTTTATTTCTAGAAAACCTTTTGATATAATACTGAAGGTGGAGAAAACGGCTACTTCAGCTGTGCCAACTCTGAGGTGGAGGTTGGATGCACATCCTTGATTATTCAAAGTATGTATTCAAGAAATAGAGCGAGCACAAGATGACAGAGAGCTTAGTGTTGTCTCCAGCCGCTGTTTCTGACCCTCGCAGAACTTAGGGGAGACACATATGTAAGAAAATGGTGGTGATGGTGTCCCAAATGTCCAAATGATGTCTCCTCAGCTTCACTTTGTCATACAAGTATCAGGACTATGAGAAGACTGAGCAGAAAGCTGAGACCTGCTTTGTTTCTTGGCTGAAAGAAACTCTCATCAGAATCTTTTCACCGAGATAACTCACTGAGGGAAATAAACATATCTCATTTGCTGTATGTATTTTTTCAACCAGTGACATCATCCCCCCTGTAGGTCCAAGTCCCTGTATGTACTACGTGTTCTTCTTTTATTCAGTCTTGAATCTGTGAGTGATGGGGTTTGGCAGGGACACGGGGGGAGTGACATGAAACTTAAAGTCTCAGCTAAAAGTGGTCTTCTAACAAGCTGCTGTCTGTCTGTCTGTCTCCTGAAGCACAGCTCCTCAGATGTAGACCACAAATCACACTGACAATCTGACCAGCAGGGCGAGAGAGGAAATCAGACATGAAGTGGAGGAGAGAGAGAGCGAGAGCAAGAGAGAGAGAGAGAGAGAGAGATTGAGCTTTACTACAATAGAGAATACACACAAATACACACAAATCCTGACACTGAGAGTGAAAGTGTTTGGCAGGTCAAACAAACCTATTTTACATGCCAATTAACTTAAAGGCTTGAATACAGTTTTTTTTTCTTTTTTTGTGGAATAAATACTCTCAAGCTTTGCATCAAATTCCCGGTGTAGGCTTAGGCGTGCACACATATACACAACAATAGCCCAGATATGTGATGCAAAGGAGGATTTGGACGGTGATGGATGTCTTGTTGTGCAGGAAGCTGCTGCTGGGAGCAGAGAGCAGGACAGCAGAGCCTCTGAGAGCTCAGAGTGAGCAGCTTTATGTGATGGATGGCACCATTTTCACCTGGTAGAGGACTGAGAGTAAAAAAGAAGAAGACATGGACCCACAGAAAATACAGACTCAGAGGAACAGACAGACGGGGTCTTTTTAGAGTATTTAGAGCCAGACATTTCATCTTAGCACTCCTGAAATCACTCTGATACTACTACTGTTACTACTACTACTACTGCTAATAATAATAATAATAATGATAATAATAATAGGGGTCCTCTGACTTTGCATGATATTCACTGACGCAGATATTCACCCACTGTACCTCAGAGCTGTATTTGAGTTATAGAAGAATACATTGATACTAGTTGTTCACTTTCAACACAGGTGGAATTTTTGAATGACAAAAGAGTCTCCAGGAGAGCATGTGATATTGATGAACTGTTATCAAATATATTTGATAACAGTTCATCACCATTTACAGATGAAAGAATCTCTATAGAGATGAAAGAATCTCTAGAGATTCTTTCATCTGTAAATGTAAGAATCATACTGATCCAAAACAATGTTACCTGTATAAATCCTGTAAATCCTCTTTGAATTATCATGTCTCATTAGAGTCTCTTATTCACAGTCTTATTTCTCAGAGTCCTTGAGCTCCATCATCCTGGAGGTTCCTCTACACTGCTGCAGACCTCATGCTGCTTCCATGACAAGCATCAGTCTCACTATTTCTGTCACTGTTTATGAAGCTAATGTTTGACTATTTCTGCTTCTATTGTTCTAACCTAAAAAAGCAAATCATAAAGCAAACCATAAAAAAGCAAAATAAAAAACACTTACCTCGTTGCCAAAGGTCTTATTTACTTTTGTGTATTATAAAATGGTTCATGACATTTTGTCTGATCAATTATTGGTTAAAAAAAAGTCCTCCCAGGAGCTTCAAGAACCAAGTTTATAAACTGTGCCACATCAAATAACTCCCTAAAAATAATTTTACAATATTGGGTACGGATCATTTACAGTACAACCGTTATACTTGAAAAGGTCTGATTTTACTCTCCATTGTGGAGTAAATAAAAAGGATACAGGAAATATATATGTATATGTCAGAGGCAAAACAGTGATTTGTTTTTAGAGGTTGTCTAGAATTGTCTCAAAATTTAGAAAAGTGCTGTCTGTGTTATTTGAAAGGGTTTGGATTAAAAGCTGAAGTGTCCCAGCTCCTCATTTTAAGATCTCTGTAAGAGCCCAGAGGGCAGGACCAGGTCATGTGATCAGACTCACTTTGGCAGACTGCTCTCCTCCTCACTGACTGTGGACCATGACTAAAGTGATTTATTCATCCCTGGTGACTGATGACAACAGTCTGATCTGTTCATTAATACTGAGCAGTGCCACACAACCTTTCCTTTCCATTCTTTCTTTCCTCCCCTCCCTCCTGCCAGCTGCAGACTGGAACAAATCACCGCTTTAAAGAGAAAACCTCCTTTCTCCTGTTTCAGATTCCATTTTTTTTCCACCCTAATTCCTACAAAACAGAAAAAAACACAGGAGTTTTTTAAGTGTGAAATAACACCCCAGGCCTCATGAAACCACTTTTCCTTATTATTTCTTGGTGGGACAAAACCTGCCAATTCAGAGTATTTCTCTGAGTTTACTCTCCACAGATTCTTGAAAATACCAAACTATTTTTTCCACAGTCAAAGATAATGTCACGTCTTCTTGTTCTGTGGTTTGTTTTGAATTGATCACCACCCTGACATATCTATGGCTGCGTCTAAACAGTTTGAAGCAGTGGCGATTTCTCTAAGACTGCAAGGGAAGCTCAGCTTCCCTTAAAATGTCACCCCCCCAAAAAAAAGAAAAAGTGGTGAAATACGTACTGCTGTGTGTACATTTCATTAACTAAATACGCGCTAGAAAGCCTTCATCTTTTGTTCAGAATCACACTGTGATAAGAAGCTGATAATCACAGGTAACTGGCACAACTTCGTTCTCATTCACCCTCGCAGCGCCTCAGCGCTTTTCACAGCCGGACGCTCGGCGTCTGCTGACTTCAATGTGGAAGCTCAAAGTGGGTTGTTCCAGCAGCGAAACTAGACGCTCATTGGATAAACGCTGGGCTTTGTCCCGCCCATCGGACGCTCAGCGTCTCTGGAGTTCTATAACGAGAGGGCGGTCCCAACTTTCTCTCAGACGCTGAGCTTCTGCATCCATGATTGGATGAGCTGTCTGAGGCGAAATCCTTTTTTAATTGACAGCTAAACAAGCGAATCAGCGATCTTGAAGAATAAAACATCTACCAGAGCATTTTCCAAGTTATTCATTCCGTTGTTCTTAACTGCTCCGGAGACTTTACCGATCCTCAGCGACTTTTGTCTTTGTTAAAAACGACTGCCGTTGTGTTTGGTGACTCTGTTCTGTTACATACAAATAAACAAACACAATTATGATGTAGGCCAGAAAAATGAGCTTCCCCTCCTTGAAAGACCAGCAGCCGCCACTGGTTTGAAGGTATCTCAGTTTTATTTTCCTGCTGGATTCACCTTGTGGTTCAAAAACATGATGGCGAGTTATTGGTTTTCACAGATTCATTCACTTATCCATCCATTCATTGAACCATTTCATTCACATCCAAAACCATGCTGAACCACATACTGTATATCTAGCCTGCTTCTTAACCAAGAAGATTTGCTGTCAGAATTTCTAAATTGCATTGATGCAGGGATTTCAATTCCCACAATCCACCTGTTTTGGTAAGTAAACAGATGTGTGACACTGCATTTGGCTGAAATTGATTCAGAATTGTCCCGCAAAGCAAAACCATTGATTGGATTAATCCTAAAGCAACTGCATTGTGAATGTAGCATGACAAATGTTGGTTATGGGGTTGTACCTCTGCACTTTTAATAATGAGGAAATCTAGTTAGTATGAAAGCAGTGCCAACATAGCTTGCAGCAGAGAGCAACAAGACAAACATGAGATCATCAAGCTGACTGGTTTCAAGCCGAAAGAGGCTTTTTTGAAAAGGGAGGCATCTTTGATAAACCAGTAGGTGGGGGAAAGTAGGAGAGGGGTGTTTATACTGAACGCCAAGCTACCAGCTGGACCACCCTGAAAAAAACTCAGGCATCACAGACATCTGTACTCAGACACTTCGCTAAACCTCCCTCTTAAGACAAATGCTATCACAGTGTCCATCATCAGGTTTATTATCAAAGGTGTGTAAAAATATGGTGCGGTTGAGAAATCACAGTTTCCTCAAAAGGATCCAAACATTAGAGCCAAGATGAACCACACCCAGCTGCCCTCACTCCTCTGAACAATGCAGAACTACAGGTGCTAACAGGTAACACTATTATTGCACTATCCAGGATATCCAGGCTTCTATTTCACTCACACTAAAATACTGACTAAAAGTCAAACAATGCATCATTAAATGAACATGTCATACAGACATATTCATGTCAATATTCTTCATAATGTAGACCCATAGACTGTATATAAGATGGACAGAGTCTGCCTCCTCGCTGGGTGAGGCCACTCCGAGAACAGCACCCTCTGATGGTGGGCTGCAGTACAGGTCATAAATCCCGCCTCCGCCAGCAAAGCTTATGGGACTGTGGACAAATTTTAGAAATTTATTACACAGAACATAATTTTTTGTCCCCCCTGCTTGTGATGTTGACATACAGTAAGACTGGTTTGTGCCCAAGTCCTTTTTTTTCTGTACAGCTCCGTTTTTAAAAGTTATTAGGGGGTTCATGTTTTCTATGATTGACACCTGGTACAGCCTATGGGCGTTCAGGGATTGCGTAGCTCTTCCGGGGGATACGCTGTTTGACTCGAGCGTCATCACAGGGACTCTCAGCGACTGCGCGGCCGAATGCGCACAACGCTACTGCACAGCTCTGGTTTCAAGGAAGTGGAGAAAAACCCGGAATTACCGAGAGGTTTTTGGCTTCAAATCCGTATACGGGCAGAAGGCGGAACCACGGTGTCCATCTTATATACAGTCTATGTGTAGACCAGATTGTTTATGTTGATGATGGGCTTTATGAAGCAGATGTTGGAGTTGAACAAGGATTTGCATCATCAGTCTCTTCGATAATTGTATTTTTCAGCAGGGTTGACCTTCCTCCTCCCTTCTTTATTTCCTTTGACCAACTCAGAGTTTGCGGGAAAGCTTTGTGAAAATACAGGCCAGTTGATAAGTCACATCAAATGTTGGGCTCTTCACTTCCTGTTGCTTGGACCAGACTTTGCAGCTTGGTCCCATCAGTGTTGCTTTTAGCTCTTTATTCCAATAAGTCCATATCCTTTGACGAAAGCACATATAACAGAGTTCATACAATTACATTTATGGGAAATCCAAAAGATTAAAATAATCTGCTGTTATCTTTTCATGGACTAAACCTTAAAAAAAGTTGCTGTTTTTTTCTCTACATAGTATTTCTCAGTCATCAATAACAACAAATATTGTTGTTGCTTGAGCAGCATGCCATTTGTCAGTGAGAAGTGTGCTAAGGGAAAATCAATGTTTCATTAAAGTAGAGGTGTTTAGCAGCATCAGACAGTCGCAGTCTTTTCAGAGCAGACAGTCTCAGCTCATCACTGCTGCTCTACTGGAAGCTTCATCCACTAATTAGCTGCTCCCATCACTTCTGGACCAGCAGGAGTGTGTGTGTGTGTGTGTGTGTGTGTGTGTGTGTGTGTGTGTGTGTGTGTGTGTGTGTGTGTGTGTGTGTGTGTGTGTGTGAGGGAATGAGACTCAGCACTCTGGAGTGTCTCAGTTAACTAAATCAGCTGTATTAGTGAGTGGGCGGTTGGAGGCTGAAGTACCATTAGTATCGGCTGACTGACTGTCAATGAGAGCTTCAAACTGGGAGGAGACAGAGTCTGTCCCTGCTTTGTGACATCATCGAAATGTGCCCATGAATTTAAAAAGGAGAAAACAAAATGCATGAGGATTTTTTTTTATTTTTCTTTCTCTCAAGTTAAAATCTACTCATGAGCTATTACTTCTTTTATGCTAATTGTAAGTTTGTTGTTTCACTGTGTGACACATGCATTATGAAAAGTAAAAAAAATTGTACAAATTAAGGGATTAGTGTTTCTGAATTAGGTACATGATTTGTAGTATAAATATGATATATAGTAGATACACAATACATTTTTTGAGCACTGAATGACAACGAGTGACCTTGGGTGTTAAAAATGATGCCTGTGAGAAAGCCTGCACATCCAATTGCCCATTATAAAAGTGAAATCAAAAATGTTTGCAGCTTTAACATTACTTTATAACAGATTTACCTGTTTTGAAGACATTAAGAATACATTTGCATGACTAAAAGCATGATTGGGTTGCGGTAGAGACAATGTGACTGTTTTAATTTTTGACCTCAGTTTCAGCTCTTTGTCTTTTTCTGGGTTTACTAAGACTAAGGTTGTATAGCTGCCAACTATACTGATAGTATGATCTGTTGTGGCCATCAGCCTGTAGTTTAAATACTTGGATGCTGTATTGACTCTGTGAAAA